CCCTTCCGGAGATACTAAGCGAATCCCGACGGCAGAGCCCTGCTTTGAGGACGAGCCGTCGACATGGAGGATCCAAACGGCGTCGGGCGAATTTTCTCTAATGTTTTCTAGCGGCAGTTCGATGATAAAATCTGCCAAGACTTGGGATTTTGCGCACGTCTTGTTTCTGTACTCAATGTCGTATTCACTGAGTTCTATTGCCCATTTGGCTAGGCGTCCTGATTGGCTTGGACTATGCAAGATGGCTCAGAGTGGTATGGGAGCCATAACTACGATGGAGTGAGATTGGAAGTATGGTCATAATTTTCTGAGCCGACATTACGACTGTGAGGGCGATCTTTTTGGTTTGTGGATAACGCGTTTCTACATTGGTGAAAGTCTGCGAGATGTAGAAAATCGGTTTTTGCTCCCCCAATCTTCTCTGACTATTACTCCGCTGACCGCCGTGTCCGAGACGGCGATGTACAGAAATAGCGGTTAGCCCGGGACCGGTTTTGCCAAGACTGTTAGATTTTCCAGATACATCTTTAGTTCCTAGAAAGCTTCCTCGCAACGATCGGTCGATTCGAATTTCTTGTTTCCACGCAAAATATCGTAGAAGGCCAGACATTTATCAGTAGATCGGGAGATGAATCGGTCCAGGACTGCGACTCTTCCGGTCAGACGTTACATCTCGCGTTTGTATTGCGGCGAGGCCATGTTCAGTAGAGCATTGATTTGTTTAGGATTCACCTCGATGCCTCTGTGAGTTACCAGATATTCCAGGAATTCGACTGACTTTACCTCGAAGCGACATTTTGCTGGGTTGAGCTTCATGTTGTGTAGGTTAAGCTGTCAGAAACAGTCGCGTAGATGGGCCACATGGTCGTTTTCCTCGAGGGACTTGACTAGCATTTCGTCAATGTAGACCTCCATTGTCTTCCCGAGCTACTCGGAAAACATCTTGTTGACGAGCCGTTGGTATGTCGCGCCGGTGTTTTTGAGTCTGAAAGGCATGACTTTGTAGCAGTACATGCCACGGCTGGTAATTAACGCTGTCTTCTCTCGATCATCTGGGTGCATAAGGATCTGGTTTTATCCTGCGTAGGCGTCCATGAACGATAGCAGCTTGTTTCCGGCGGTTGCTTTTACCAATCGGTCGATATGTGGGAGCGAGAAACTGTTCTTCGGGCAGGCTTTGTTCAGGTCAGTGAAGTCAACGCAAATTCTCCATTTCCCGTTCTTCTTTTTCACCATGACAGGATTTGCTCGCCAGTCAGAGTATCTTGCTTCGGAGATCTAGCCGATCTTCAGGAGTTTTTCCACTTCTGCGTTCACAGCATCGGCGTGGTTTCTGCCCAATTTCCTCCTCTTCTGTTTGATGGGTTTGAACGATAGGTCTACATTCAACTCGTGGCAAATTACGTCGATACTTACTCTAGGTAAGTCCTCGGGTGACCAGGCAAAAGTGTTGACGTTTTTCTTGAGAAATAAGATGAGCTCGGCCTTGATCTCCTCGGTCAGGTCGTAGCCTATCTCAACGCACCGCTCAGGTCGTTCATCGTCAAGGCTGATGAAGATTACAAGATCCGAGGTAGGCTTCTTCTCCTCGTGAGACTCCTCGATCTGTAATTGCTATAACTGTTTTGATATAGCCTTCTCCTCGCTTCGACTAATTTTTGACTTCTTGTGGTCGACCTCGGTGTTGGCTTCGGCGCGAGGTTTCGAAGTTTGTGCGCTGACATGAAACACATCCGTGAATTCTTCTGACTTCCCCATATCGTCTTTACACCGTTGGGCATCGAGAATTTTACGCAGAGGTGACATGTTGAAGCGACAGCTCGCATCAGGTTTAACCACGGCGTCCCCATTATGATGTTGTAGATGGTTGGTTGATCAGTGATTGAAAAAATGATTATCTTTGTCACTCCGCCGGCCTGGACTGGCAGCTGAATAGTTTCGGGCGTCATCAATGTTTCTCCTGAGAAGTCGAAGACTGGCCTCGGGGTCGGAGTTACTTGCAAAATATCGATGTTCATATGTCAAAGCGTCTCGCGGAATATTACGTCAATAGTGCTGCCTATGTCGATCAGTATTCGTGATACGTTGTGGTCTCCTACGGCTAGTGTGACGACGAGGGGATCGTTGTGAAGCATGTCGACTCCGTTCGTTTTACTTTCCTCGAACGCGACTGTGTCATTGGGTCGGTCTAATAGTCTTGAGCAGTTGATGGGCGCCTCGGCCCAGTGTTGATAGGCTTTGATTGCCACTACGGTGTCGGGGCAGTATGGTGATCCACCCATTATAGTTAGTACCTTCTGTATTGTGCCATCGCGATCCCTTTTTGGTATTCCTCGGGGATGCTTCGGAGCTTCCTGGTTTCTTGGCTCGGGATCCCTTACCGTATTGGTTTGCTCAAGCTGAACTTGCTCCGGCTCTAGATCCTTGAGCGTGATATTCGTCCCGAGTTCTCCAGCTAGGAATTTGGCTGCCAACTTCGCCCTAAGGCTCCGGCATCGGGAGGTGTGATGTCCGAAAGTTTTGTGGGGCTCGCAGTATTCTTGATTGTTACTTGGTGGTTGATCTCTCGTTCAAGTGAACGAGTCTCTTCCTCGTCCACGACTGCGGCCTCGACCTCGGGCCGTATCGATTTGATAGTTGTGGACCCCCGAGAAATTGCGTCCTTCATGATATGTATACGTCCCGCTCTGGTTTACCTTCTTCTGGGTCGGTGGTGTTGCTTGAGTTTTCTCGGTTCGGGCCGCCTGTTTCGTCGGCTCGTGTCTCTTTGCTAACAACTCCATCTCTTCTTCGTAGGCGACGAAATACGAGGCTCAGTGCAGCGCATCGCGAATTGTGGTGGGTTTGGACAGGTTCAGCTCTTTTCTGAATTCTGACTTATACCAGAGGGCTTTCTTAAGGCCGAAAGGGCAGCCACATCGGTGATTCCTTCGACCCTTTCTAGTGTTGATTTGAAAGTTGCGAGGAAATCCCTTAATGGCTCGTTGGGCTGTTGCATAGAGTACTTCTTGAGAAAGAGCGTTGACAGCTCGTCGAAACTATCGACCGAGTTTCGATCTAATCTTGAAAACCAGTCAAGTGCAGTTCCCTTGAGGGGCTCGACGAATAACAAGCATAGACCAGTGTCCTTCTCTCCGGGTTTAAACTTGGCTCGGGCCACAGATATCATGAATGATTTAATGTGTCTCTTCGGGTCAGTCGTTCTGTTGAAGTAATCGATCTTGAGCTTTCCCGGGTCGGAGACTGTTGCTTTGGAGATTCTTCTAGTGAAAGGTGTATTGCGAGATTCTTCTAAGATGCAGTCGATGTTAGGTGCTGAGGAAGACACGCTATGCATCTGTGATTTGACGATCTTCATATCGGCTACAGCTTTGGCTAAGGAGGGTTTGATTTCACCGGGCTCTCGTTGCCTCTCATACTCTTCGCCCCACCTTGCGTTCTCCTCTGCTTCTTCGTCGTCGGTGGCATCGGTTCGCTCAGGGGAATTGACTCCGGTTCGGGGATCTTGAGCCTGTTGATTGCCCGGCTTGTTCTTTTGGTTTATTGTGTTCGGGTCTGAATGGTCATCCTGATTCTCGTGTCGGGCGAGCTCGACTCGGGCTTCAGCTCTACTGTTTTCGGTCGGTGTTGCGAAGACAAGTCTTGTTAGGTTGATGTCGGGTATATCTCTTCGGGCTCGTATCGGCCGAGTCTGAAAACGTGTGATCCTGAACTGTCCACGGGACGCGACTTCTTCGATTTGCTGTGCCATGGTCTTGTTAACTTTTTCTTGATCGTTGGCTTTCTTCTGGAGTTGAACCATCATATCCTTCAGCTCAGCTAGGGTTGTCGAGATTGCTGGTTCGGCTTGGGGATTCTGAGGGTTCGGAGGAATCGGGTTACCTCCACCAGCTAGTAGATGATGGTCGTCTTTAGTCATCGTTTTTCTTCGGTGATTGAGTTATGCGTTCTTGGAGTATGAGAATTCTAAAGCATCCCAACAGACGGCGCCAAACTGTGGAAGTCAAAACTTAACACAATCGAGATTTGTCTAGGGTTTTATTTTAGGGATACGATGTGCAAGAATTCTCAAAGAACAACAGAAAAACTTGTGATCAAAGATGGTGTTCTTGATATTATTGATGAAAAGAATAGTTTTGATCGTACAGAGAACTAGATCGTAAAAAGAAAAGTGTTTGTTCGCTTTCGAGAGTCAGAGTTTTTTGTAGTCTGAAATCTAGAGCATTTTTGCTTCCCTCTTCTGTGAGAGCCTTGAGTTGCTTTATATAGGGATAGTAAACCGCCTCCTAGCAATATTCTCAGGTAGCACTGAGACTTTGCCTCGGGGTAGCACTGAGACTTTGCCTTGGGTAGCACTGAGACTTTGTCTCGGGTAGCATTGAGACTTTGCCTCGGGGTAGCACTGAGACTTTGCCTCGGCAGTGTACCCCGAGCTGACTGGCTGTGTACCCTGAGCTAAATAACTGTGTTCCCCGAGCTGACTGACTGTGTTCCCCGAGCTGATTGACTGTGTACCCCGAGCTGACTGACGGTGTTCCCCGAGCTGACTGGCTGTGTACCCCGAGCTGACTGACTGTGTTCCCCGAGCTGATTGTGTACCTTGAGCTGACTGACAGGGTACCCCGAGGTGTTGTAGGCTTGGTCTCAAAGGATGGGTGAAATCCGACCCCAACAAGTCACGTGAAACTCTTCATCTAAGCAAAAAATTGAACTAAACAGACTAATCATGCACATCTAAGATCAAGTACGAATGAATCTAGCTTGTAATTACTTAGGAGAAGACATCAAATTGGTTTACAAAGAGACAAAGCCTTCACATTCAAGAAACCAAACCTAGTAAATTTGACTAACCTTTATATATAATGCAAACGTTAAGGACTCACACAAAACCAAATCGTTAAGGACTCACACAAAACGTGTAACGAAGAGAGGTTATCGAGACGTGTAGGCCACAAATTGTTTTCTGAAGGACTCACCAACTTGATTCAACTAACGTCTAATTGTTTTCTGAAACTTTTTGCCACAAATTTATTCAAACTCACTTGGAAACCAAAATCAAGACACCCTCACAACAACAAAAACAAAACATGTCTACTAAGTAAGACTCTGTGGAGTGCATAAAACCGTTGTATAGAAACAAACGAAACGGTAAGCACCTGCAAGTTTTAACAGCAACAACACAAAACCTAAATCAACACAAAACAGTTAAGAAACAACCAAGCCAATAATGAGGCAATTCGTCGAACACCTGGAGGGCATGAAAAGCATCATCAGAACATAAACCACTCCACTCCGGCCAAAAGCTTCTAAGAAATCAATATAATCCAAATCGATCAAACCCTACCAAAATCTAACCCAAGTGCTCATGAATCTACTGAACCCTAACAAAATCATACCTGCGACGAAGATGTTTTGGGGTTCTTGGCCAACGAAATCAATAGCTATGGTTTAGGGGATCTGGACGAGCGAAGAAGATGAAGGATGAAGAATTCATAGAATTTAAGAAGAAGAAGAATTTGGGGATAAGAGCGAGAATGACAAAGAGTGATAGAAATTGATAAAATCCAATAGATCTAGGGGTGTATAATCATAGGAAAAGAGTGAATAGGTAAATGAGAGGTAAGGAGAAGGGAAGAATCAAGGAAGAAGGGAAGAATAGAGGAAGACACTACAAGAAAACACTTCATTTGCGACTGTGATATTAGTCGCTAAACGGTCGTGATTGCTCGAGTAATTACCCGATACACTTAACCGCAAGGTAGTATATACGGGGTCGATCCACAAGGACCTAAGATACTCTAAGGATTTTCGAGACTTGTTCTTAGCTAAAACTAAAAAGTTGTTTTGTTTGAGTTTTCCGAATTGTAAAATAAAAATGCAATTAAATTAAACGATTTAAGTTTCAAGATTTAAAGACATTAGGCATTAGGGTATTTCAGAGATCAATAAACAATGGAAACATGAGACAAGGAATTCAACAATTACGAACCGTTCTTGAACATGAACACATTTAGACCAACTCTCTTTCAAGACATTAATCACTAAATTTGACTATTCGATTACTAAACTTTCGCATGCAATTTCCTAATCAAATTCGTATTACCAACTAAGTTCATTTAGTTCACAATGCGTCCTAACGTCAACTTTCGTTGGCTAGAAATACATTGCTCAATTCACATTCTTTCAGGCATTCTATCGAACACTTTTGATGCATAGAAAAACCTAGGTTCTACAACAGGGTGATCAATCCTATTCTAGCATTAAGAACATGTGAATCAAAGAACCTAAAGAATGAAATTCCTAATAACAATCAATCCATTAATCCATTGAATCTCCTAATTAGAACCCTAAAACCCAATTAAAAGACTACTCACACATAACAACAGAAATAAGACAAATAGATTGAAAGGAAAGCATAATGGAATTGATAAATAAGAATAAGGGTTTAGAAATCTTCTCCAAAGTGTCAAAGAGGATGAATCTCTAGAATCCCAAAAAGTTTACAAAGAGAAGTCTCAAAAGTTGCAGAGAAAAGAACGTAAAAAGAAAATTAGGTCTCTGGAGTTTTTATACCCAAGTACAAGGGTGGATCGATCGATCCCATGGGTGGATCGATCGATCCCATGGGTGGATCGATCGATCCCATGGGTGGATCGATCGATCCAGATATGCTGAATCAATTGGTCTTGGGCGGATGATGCTGGATCGATCGATCCCCCCTGGGATCGATCGATCCCGAAGCTCCTAGAGTCAAGCTCTGCACCTGCTTCAAATGCTCGCCAGATTGACATGTCTTCACTAATTTGGGTATAACTCTTGAATGCACCGTTAGATTTCCTTCAAACCACTTGGAAAATCAAGCTAACATCTTCATCTAGATTGTGTCAAAAATTCAGAAAGATCTAACTGTGGGAAGTCTTCCATCTGAGGCCAAACGTTTGATACTTCTAACTGAAACTGCATCTCCAAATGTGTGTTTATATCCCAAAACAGCTCGTTTTCCTCCGAAGCAACCTAAAACCTGTAAAGACTCGATAAAAGACTAAAAGACTCTAAAAACACACTTTGACTCTTTAAAATATATGATCTAGGAAAGAAAACAAAGACTCAAAACCGATAAAAACACAACATATCAGGTCGCAAAAGAGGGTTTTGCAACTGAATAACGACTATTTCCATTGGTCGCAAAAAAATGGTCGCAAAATTTCCGTGTATCACTATAGTCGCTAATTTGCGACTATTTTGCGACTATAAATATATCGTCGCAAATTACCGACTAATCTGTGACAGGTGAATATCGTTGCAAATGTGCGACTATTTTAGGACTCATTTATTATGGTGACAATATAGTCCTTTATTAGTAACCATTTTGATACAAGATTTGGAGTTATTTGTAAATTTGTTTAGTCACAGTTTGGTCACATTTGTTAATTGTTCTGGTCACAAACTAGTCAGAATTTCTGAAACTTTTTGGTCATAGAATGGTTACATCTTATTAGTCTGAAACCTGTCCATTTCAAAAGCAAATGCATTCAAAAACCATTCAAATATCAATCAAGTACCATTCCAAACCATTCAAAAACTATCCTAATCAAAGCATAACATATCCTAATAAGTTCACATACACAGACAAAAGGAAACTAAAATCAAGTTGAATGATTTGAGGTGGTGTTAGATAGAGGAGAGGTTGGTGTGGTTCCAGTGGTGTGTCCTGCTGGTTGGACTGCAGCTCCTATGGTGCCTGGAAGGGTGTCGGAAGGGTGGCAAGATAGTATTTCATGAGTGCAGCGACATCAACTGGATTCACACCCTCAGGTATTGACGCACTAGGATCTGCCAAACAAGTGATTCAATCAAATTACAATTTCTCACTAAGCTATAAGAGTCGAGGCAAATCTTGCTAGAATGTCGGCTATCTTGATTGTAAGCAGAAACCAATTGTTGAATCAACTTTTTATCTCCTTCGGCTTTGAACAAGTTCGGTGAATTAAGCCCTGGTAAGAGGAAAATATCACATTGATAACTCGATATGAGAAGGTAAGAGCAATAAAAGGTTTGTGATCCATTGGTCCAAACATTATTACCTGTTAATATGAGATAATCTGCGCATTTAATCAGTATCAGTGGTATAGGCCTGCTTGACTCTTGCCGCTGGACAATGATCTCAATCAGAACACCAAACACTGAGTGCCAAAAAAAACGTCATATAGAGAAAGTTACAGCATTTCAAACAAGCAGAGCAGAATCTTAATAACTAATAGTTATCTCAAGAACGGACTAATAAGAGGATTAAGTATCCCCACTACCCTCCATCAAAGAATCAATTGACCTTTCGATTAACTAAATGTTTATAAACTGTATTCTCTCCATAAATTGCGATTAACTTACCATCTGAGCTGGCAACTCCCTGCAGATTTACAAACAATAGATATTAGAGACCAAACTTCAAATCAACGGCATACAATCAGATTTCAGACTCAAGTACCTTCTGCCACCTTTCGATGTCCGTCAAAATGGTCTTGCTTTTTTGTGCAGTCTTTTTGGCTGCCTAAGAGAAAACAAAGATCAAAGAATTTAGGTGTCAGAAGTTATAAGCGACAAACATTCTTGTCAAGTCAATTCAAGAAGCTACACCTCTTCCATTTTGATCTTTCCAACATAAACCTTTTCCTTTGTCTCAGTTATACCCTTCCTGACCAAGGTCCCGGTTGTGGCAGCAGCTGTTATGAGGTGTTCTTGCACGGCATGTCTAGTTGCCGGCTGCTGAAGAATTGCCCACCAGAAACTGCACTAAGAGCATTTAACTACGCTTTTAGACAGCTCATTCATTACCGTGCCCATGCCATCCAAACCAGCCTTAACCATGTACAAAAATAAAGAGGAATATTAGTCGAAATGTAGAAGCAAAAACTAATAACATTGGAAAATTAGAAGACCATTTACCATCTCAAGGAGAATGCTATCCTTGAGATTATATGCTGATATGCTATCATAGGTTAACTTAGGGAAAGGAAACACTAGTTATTGAAAGGTAAATTAGAAGTAAAGAACAAGCACATACTTAGACAAATAATAACAGAGATACAACAAACACAGTAGTTTCTTAGAATCAATATACAAACACAAACTTAAGCAAATTAGATGAGCAACTACTATACTAACACACTCGTTTCTTAGAATCTTTATTTAACAATCAGATTAGAACAAATTAAAGACAAATCAAACCTTTTTCACTTTGAAATTCGAAAAAGCAATTATAAACATCATCTGAAGTAATATACTAACCTAAAATCAAACCAAAAAACCTAGAGAAACAGAGAAATGAAGCTAACATGGAATAAACAGAGCCAAGAGAGAAATCGAGTTAAAAACTGGTTGTAATCGAACACTATACAGCCCTAAACATCAAAAATAATAGCAGATCTAATATGAAATCGAGCAAATAAAACAAAATCAAGCATTTACAAATCACGAGAAGGAGAAGAGTCATAAACAGTACCTGCCGGACCCGAGTCGGATGGACGTTGGCGACGGTCATTCTCTTGGCCGGAGGAAGTGAAAGACCCCAACCCAGACTCCCTAAGCCCGTAGAGGTTCTTCCCGAACGGATCACTAAGTGGTCCGATCCTTAGCCAAATTTTAGGGTTCATTCCTTAAGACAATCCGTTTCATATTATTCCGCGATTTATTATTTAGAGTCATTATGCAACCTTAGAGTAAAACAAACGATCGGATACTTTATTAGATAAGTAAAGGATTCGATACAACTTATGAGTTTGCATATAAGCTATTACAAGTCATATAATCGATCCTATTCTACCCGATTCACCACCACCCATCTTCCCGGCCATGAGTCTCTCGCGCCTAAGCCAAATCCTTCCCACGATCACCATCCTTCCCTGAAACCAACAAGACATAAGTACTCGTCTTTTACTTAGTGGATGCAAGTCCATGCAATGCACTATACGTTCTTATAATCCTTTGGTCCGGAAAACGGATCGGAGAGAGGAAGTAAGCGCATCAGTTCGGCCTAGAACCGGTAGATCCTCGCGGATCCACCGATTCCTTGCCGAGCCGCCTCCCCGTCTCAACCAAACCGTTACTCCTCACAAAGTATGCACGATATGAATATGCTCATGAATGACTAGGCCGATCAACGAACTAATCAAGCAACCCACAATATTCTAGCCCTTATACCATCCGCACGTCCGGAGATCGTAATCTCCGAGGCATTACCACGCTTTACACCCACCTTGACTACACGGATTCGATCGGTGAATGATCCGTGTTGCCTCTCTCGATCGCCGATAGAACGCTCGGCTCCGAAAACTCTCCTTTTAACCGTATTCCTCTCGGCAAATGCCTTAGAGTTTCCTCTGGATTTTAGGTGTTTGCGCGTGTCGTGAAAATAAAGGAATCGCCTTCTATTTATAGTTTTTACGATTAAAACCGTTTTTCCCCATAGGTGCCCGTTCGGTGGAACACGCTTGTTCGCATAGGTTCTTTGAAACCGCTCATTCATGCATCTTTGACCAACCGTTCGTTCGCGTCTATTCGGCCGTTATATGTAACCGTCAACCCAACCGCCTTACTACCTTCCCACCCGACCAGCTGACCTAGCTAGACTGTCACTCAACCAGCTGACCTTCACTCCGTCCAG